ACAGAAACCCATTGAGTTCCTTGACTGTCGAGGGGTCCTTGCTACGTTTCAATTCATGGATAATCCCCATCCAGGCATTAATGAAAACAAAACACGTAGATCAGCGAAGAGTCTCTTTTCGGCGAATTCATCTTCTTAGCTGTACAATCGCAAATATATATGCATTGTTTTGTTTGTATGTGTACATTAAGTTTGTCAAACAAAGTTACAATTGGTTAAGGTTAATTTTAACTAAACAAGTGAAGGTTGGTAATACAGGTCAAGAAAACTAGGGTAGTAACAAAGGTGATGAGATGTCAGAAACAGTTGTAATAATAATAGTGAGTTTTACTCAGGATGCACATAGAAACAAAGTAGAAATTATGTAAGAGATCTAAGTGGATACAAGAATTACAATTGCTTAAGGTTATTTTAACTAAACAGGTAAAGGTTGGTAATATAAGTCAAGGCAATTAAGTGCTAGGATAGTAACAAAAGTGATGAGTTGTCACAATCAGTTGTTAAAAGAAGTTATGCAATAATAATATGAATATTTTGATGAGTGAGTTTTACTCAGGATGCACATAGAAACAAAGTAGATAATACGAAACTATGTAAGAGATCTAAGTGAATACAAGAATTATAAGCAACTAAGGAACAGGCAAAGAAACAAAGTTAAGTTATCAGAATAAAATAAAATAAAAAATCAAAAAATCAAAACATTGTTACCATGAGAGTAGAAGTGGTTGAGTAATCTTCTTTTGTATGCACAGCTCCGGTTTTTCCATGTGAATGGCTAGAGCTTCAGCGATACAGAGGAGACGAAACCGTATTGCCTTTGATAGGTTGTTCTTGACTCTGTAGATTACTCTGAAGGAGGCGTTCGTTGAAATGCAATGATCAGTGCTCCCATCAGCTCTTCTTGTCAGTTCCACATCAAGAAACGGAATTTTTGACTCGTTTTCCATTTCAAGAGTGAATTTTATTGCTGGATGGCAATCGTTAAATGTCTTCAGCAGTAGATTGGGGTCGTTGTTGTGTTCACAAATAATGAAAATGTCATCCACGTATATTTTTTGTACAGTTGCAAATTGTCGATACTTGACTTTAGTGAACCTCTCTCGAGGCTTGCCACGAAGCAGTCTGATAGTAGTGGACCCAACGGAGATCCCATTGCAATACCGTCCTTTTGTCTATAGATAGTGTCGTTGAATGTGAACTGGACGTTCAGAGTGCATCTCAATAATAATTCTTTCAAGTATGTAGTCGGTATTCCAATATCGATGTGGTTGTCATCTATATATCTGCATATGAAGCAGACCGTTTCTGTGAGTGGGACATTGGTGAAGAGTGACTCGATGTCGAAGGATAGCATAATTTGGTTAGATACATTCGTGTCTTGTATGCACTCGATGAACTGGAAGGTTGGTCTCACACTTCGCCCAATTCTGGATATGTCAGGTTCCCCTTACCACTCTATTGCACAATGGCTAGCAGATATTCTGGAACCTGTAAGGAAGCAATTATGTACGCACTCACTCCGTGACACCTTCCAGTTCATCGAGTGCATACAAGACACGAATGTATCTAACCAAATTATGCTATCCTTCGACATCGAGTCACTCTTCACCAATGTCCTACTCACAGAAACGGTCTGCTTCATATGCAGATATATAGATGACAACCACATCGATATTGGAATACCGACAACATACTTGAAAGAATTATTATTGAGATGCACTCTGAACGTCCAGTTCACATTCAACGACACTATCTACAGACAAAAGGACGGTATTGCAATGGGATCTCCGTTGGGTCCACTACTATCAGACTGCTTCGTGGCAAGCCTCGAGAGAGGTTCACTAAAGTCAAGTATCGACAATTTGCAACTGTACAAAAAATATACGTGGATGACATTTTCATTATTTGTGAACACAACAACGACCCCAATCTACTGCTGAAGACATTTAACGATTGCCATCCAGCAATAAAATTCACTCTTGAAATGGAAAACGAGTCAAAAATTCCGTTTCTTGATGTGGAACTGACAAGAAGAGCTGATGGGAGCCTAAGAAGATCAATCCATAGAAAACCTACGTGGAATGGTCAACTAACAAGCTTCTATAGCTGGGTGCCTATTCAACAAAAGCGGAATTTAATTAAATCACTTGCTTCCTGCATCCGACGCATCTGTAGTCCCGACGTTGTGGAAACAGAATTAGATATTCTGAGAGAAATATTCATCCAGAATGGTTACCCAATAAGATTTATCGACAAAAATATGAAACCAATAATTCGGAAAAACGAAACTTTGACTGCGCCTAAAAAGAAAATCTACATGAACTTGGATTTCAAGGGAGATTTAGCAAGCGATATTCTCAAGAGAAGGATCACATCATCTCTGAGAAGAACATTCTTTGCAGCAACGCTAAGAATAGTGTTCTCCAGTCGCCCACTAATCTGCAGAAGCCTCAAGGACAAGATCCCGCATCTGGCCACTTCTATGTGCATATACCAGTTCACCTGCTGCTGTGGAGCCAGGTACATCGGTCGTTCGACGCGCATCCTGTCCAAGAGGATTCAAGAACACTATCCAGCATGGTTGCGAAAAGGCAATACTGGTGCAATAAGGAGTGCGATAATTGAACACCTGGTCAGCACTGATCATTGCATTTCAACGAACACCTCCTTCAGAGTAATCTACAGAGTCAAGAACAACCTATCAAAGGCAATACGGTTTCGTCTCCTCTGTATCGCTGAAGCTCTAGCCATTCACATGGAAAAACCGGAGCTGTGCATACAAAAGAAGATTACTCAACCACTTCTACTCTCATGGTAACAATGTTTTGATTTTTTGATTTTTATTTTATTTTATTCTGATAACTTAACTTTGTTTCTTTGCCTGTTCCTTAGTTGCTTATAATTCTTGTATTCACTTAGATCTCTTACATAGTTTCGTATTATCTACTTTGTTTCTATGTGCATCCTGAGTAAAACTCACTCATCAAAATATTCATATTATTATTGCATAACTTCTTTTAACAACTGATTGTGACAACTCATCACTTTTGTTACTATCCTAGCACTTAATTGCCTTGACTTATATTACCAACCTTTACCTGTTTAGTTAAAATAACCTTAAGCAATTGTAATTCTTGTATCCACTTAGATCTCTTACATAATTTCTACTTTGTTTCTATGTGCATCCTGAGTAAAACTCACTATTATTATTACAACTGTTTCTGACATCTCATCACCTTTGTTACTACCCTAGTTTTCTTGACCTGTATTACCAACCTTCACTTGTTTAGTTAAAATTAACCTTAACCAATTGTAACTTTGTTTGACAAACTTAATGTACACATACAAACAAAACAATGCATATATATTTGCGATTGTACAGCTAAGAAGATGAATTCGCCGAAAAGAGACTCTTCGCTGATCTACGTGTTTTGTTTTCATTAATGCCTGGATGGGGATTATCCATGAATTGAAACGTAGCAAGGACCCCTCGACAGTCAAGGAACTCAATGGGTTTCTGCGGTACACTGTCAAGCTTGCTGTGGGGAAAGCGAAAGTTGCCTTTTTCGAGGATTGCGTCTCTAATCATCAGTATCCAAAGTGGTTCTGGAAAGCACTTCGACGCAATCATATATATCCAAATACGAAGTCCCTTCAACGCCATGCAATGAATTGTGCTGATTCTATCAGATCACGTATGCCCGAACTGCAGCGGAATATCAATCAGAGGTCCTCTGCCTTATACGAATTGACTTCGGACGAATG